AGACGAGGTCAATTTTGGTAGGTCTGGGAGGAAGGTGAGAGAGAAGAAAAAATGCAGACTTCCTGTGAAGATCTTTTATGGCACTACTGAATGTTTCTTTCTTTCTTTCCTATCCAGAACAGGTTAATCCAATGACGCCTACAAAAACCTTCATCCTTGCTAGTACTTTTTAAAATCAGTTTTATACTCATAAAATCTGGAGGGCAGTTTACATTTCTTAACAATAAAGTAGTATTGGGTAAACTTTGGCTGTATTCATATACCAAGACCAGATTTTGTTTTCTCACACCTACTTGAGAAGAGCCCTATGGCTTCAGTTTTCTTAAAGTATTTACAGAAGAAATGTAGTTTCTGAAAATGTTAAATATATGCCAACATCATCTTGTTTCGCCCTTCATGTTTCTTATACTAAGGACTGAAATCAAAACTCTGAATATGGCCTGGTCAGTGTGGGGTGCAGATAAAGGGATATTATCCTCTGCTGTGGACTTGTCTATGTGACCACAGTCAACGTTTCCACTTGCTGTTTTGTCAACCAAGTGACCCTTGAGCTCGTTGTGAGCTTCTTGTCATCGAATCCCTTAGGTTCTTCCTTTTTTTTTTCTAAGTCTCAATAAGGAAGACAAAAGGGAAATAATGCCTTAACCAAAGTTAAGATAGAATTACTGTCAAGCATCGATATGGCATTTAGACTTGTAGAGATGTTTATGGGCCTCATCCTGGCTATACCTCTTTTGCAGCCACAGCAAATGGAGGGCTTCATGTCTCCCACTCAACAGAAAGGTATGCAGAGTTTCCTGAGAATAATTCATTCAGAGACACAAGGACTTCCAAGAGACCTGAGGTCTTGAGTTCTTTGCATAATTTTCTAGGTTTATCTTCCTTATGAATAATGTGTTATATGTTACTTTTGGGTGACTGAAAGAGAGAAGAATATAAAAAGGAAAAATATCTCTCTTAATCAGCTCAGTCACCCAAATGATGCTATAAAAAGAATTTGCAACAGTTAACCAAAAACTGGCTGACAGAAAAAAAAAAAAAAAAAGCAGTATATGAGTTTTCACTGCACTTTAATGATACGCTAAAGAAATCAGTAGCCCCTGTTCTGCTCTGCAAACCTGATTTTGGTAAAGTCCCTAGATTCAGATATAAAAACTAAGAGGAGACCACGTCGGCTAATTCTGTGCCATACTTTTGCTCTTGAGAATATTTGAGTCTTTTCCTTAATGTGCATGTTTTATCATTAGGTCACATGTGTTTCTTGAGGACCACATGTCTGTTATCTATTCTTTGTGCCCTTCAAGCTTCCATAAGCTGGGATCTTTGACTGGCCAACAGTGGGGCACTTTTTTTCTTATTTTCCTTTCAAAAGTTCTTTGTATTTTACATTTTTTTTCACACTTGACTGGGAATTTCAATAGCTATTTATTGAATCCTTACTATGTGATAGTCAACATGTTAAGTTTTATATATATTATCTACTTTGATTTATGCAACAACATCGAATTAGTATTATTATCCTCATTTAAGAGATTAGGAAACTGAGTCCCAGGCTGACCTCATGACATCATACAACCCGTGTGTTGAGGCACATGTTTTAAGCTAGGTCCATCTGGCCTAATGACAATGCTTTCCCACTACAACACAATCATTTTTGTACTTATAAAGTACATAAGCACCCTGTGCCTTTAGGAAGAGTCTTGTATATTCTTCCAAAGGAAGACAAAGTCTGTAAAGTATTTGCCCTTGAGAAGACAAGTTCATACAAAAGCCAAAGGAAAACAACTTCGTGTGTAGAACATCAACTCTACAAATGCAGTTTGTATCACTTTTTATGCCACCCCCCAAATATTCTACCCGTTAATACTTTGAAATGTTTGAATCAGCCTTGTCTCTCACACATTGAATTAAATCCAAACACTATTCTCACTGTGATGCTAAGAGCATGAATGAACTTGCAAAGTCCCTTGATGCCCAGGTGGCCTGTAGGCTGAACACAGCTCTCACCTGTGTTTTTTTTTTTTTTCTTTTTTTTTTTTTTTGGCCTCTCCCGTTGCGGAGCACAGGCTCCGGACGCACAGGCTCAGCAGCCATGGCTCACGGGCCCAGCCACTCCGCGGCATGTGGGATCTTCCCGGACCAGGGCACGAACCCGCGTCGCCTGCATCGGCAGGCGGACTCTCAACCACTGCACCACCAGGGAAGCCCACCTGTGTTTTATTGGTCAGTTTTATTGCAGTGTTGATTCCCACCATACTTTTTTTTTTTTGTAAGAATTTTAAATCCATTTCCAAGATTTGAAAAATTGAGAAGTTTTACGTTGATATTCCAGTCTGGCCCACTGGTCCTACATTCATGAAGAGCATAATTACCTGTTAGGAATGACTATCACCGTCTCCTGTAGACAGAATACTACTTCCTCCTAGTCTTCCTCTTGTTCTTTCTCTCTCTCTCTTTCCCCCTGACACTGAAGCTGTTTGTCATGTACCATTTATCACCTAACACAAAGCTGGCTTCATTCATTTTTATTACTTTCCTTGCCCCTGTAGGCATTTGAGTTTGTTTCTGCCACATTAAACAACTTTGGAGAGATTTTTAGATTTTATATAAAAAATATTTTTGGTAATATCCTCTGCATCATCAAACTAAATATGAAGTTCTTTTTCTCTGTTATTTGGAAGAGATTTTTATTCTTGGAGCAATTTTGTATATTCCAACACTTTGGCGCCAGGACATCAAATTGATACAGGCAAGATGCCATAATGTATGAGGGAGACAGTGGTTGGCACAGATGGACAGACTTCAGAATCTACCATATTCACCTTGAAAATGAAAGAATTAGGGAGAAATAAAATCCTAAAGTAATGTAGAGTTTCTATAGGAGTTTGGTCTTTATTCCACTTTGGTTACTTGAAACTTGCTTTGCAATGTCTGCTTGAAAAAATATTAGAACATGAAGATTCTAATTTTATTCTGTGTATATGTGACATTCATAGATGTGCTTTCAAATAGACACAATAATCTTATTCCAGATCCTTTGATTGGCCTCTAAATACAGGTACTCAAATTACAGACAGTGGATAGTGCATTTCTTTACATTTTGGGTGAGTAGACCTGTAAGGGTATATGTACAGGTGAATATTTGATTTGTTTATAACCAAGATGAATTAGTGCGTTTTTCTACAGATCTCAAGAGTTGTATGTCTAATCTTAACATTTAATTTTCCATAGTGTGGAAACCTCCAAGACAGAATCATAGCTCGATGTATGAAAAGATAAATTGACTTTCCTGAGGCTGCAGTGATTCAGGGACAAAAATGAGAGCTCAGATGAGTGTTAACACTACTATTTTTTGAGCATTTACCATAGATCAGGCACCGTGACTATATCATATCATTTAATTCTCTCTATAACTCTGTGATATAGGCATTACCTCCATTTTTCAACTGAGGATACTGTGGAATCTCAGAAATAAAATAATTTGCCCAAGCTAATGGAGGTGGAAACTGGAAATCCGGAATTTCAGAACAAATCTGTGTGCTTCTAAATCTATGCCCTTAAAGCACTTCATCACACTACTTGGACCTTGCCATGCATCCTTAACTCATAATTTGACACATTATTTTCTTTGTCTTTAGTCTCAGAGCTGTAAATAATATGCAAAGGATGCTGAAATATCACGTTGATTTTGAGTGGTTTTTGAGTGTTGTGTTGATGTCTTTGTGTCTACAGAGAGAACCAATATGAATTAGCTCCTCTGTGTTCTCATAAACAAATTGCTACATCATATACCTTGCCTTGATTGTTGTGGCTTGGTGCTGTGTCTCCCAGTTCCCAGGAACAGACAAGATGATCCATCCTGTGCTTACCTGAGGGTGTGTGGCTGAACAGTCCAGCCCACCCATGTGCAATTATCAGACTGCCTCATATAATTCAGTTCAGCTCAGATTAACATATATTTATGGCATACTTGTTAAATTTAGGGTTGAGATAGACACCAAGTGTCTAGATCCCTGCCCCTTCTACCCTGTGGCCGTAGACAAGTTATCTCATATCTCTTAGCCTCAGTTTCCTCATTTGTGATGGAAATAATGGTACCCACTGCATAGGTGTGTTACTTTTCCCCTAGTATATTTCTGGCTCAAAATCACTGCATATTCATTCAATGTCAGTTTCTTACCTACATTTCCTTTTTACTCTCAGTAAAATGGTGTGTCCTTACCATGAGTCCAAAAACACAACTCAAAAAAAAGGGAGATGCAAGAGGGAGGAGATATGGGGATATATGTATATGTATAGCTGATTCACTTTGTTATAAAGCAGAAACTAACATATCATTGTAAAGCAATTATACTCCAATAAAGATGTTAAAAAAAAAAAGGAAAACATGAATAGCTTAACCCCATTCATTTTTAACTTTCTTGTCAAAGGATGACTAGTCAGTTTCCTAGTTGCATAATTAACAGAGACAAAGCCAGAGTCATTAACTACAAAGGTCTCTAAAACATAGAAAAAAAAATAAAAAGCAACAAACCACCTTAAAAGGTGATAAGAAACATCCTAAACTGATTAAAACCTGTTGGCAGGTGGCTAAAACAAGTCCTTGGAGTGATTTTAAGTCGCTTTGTGATGCTTATTTTAAGTTAGTTACTGAGATAGCCAATCTCTTCATGGAAAGAAAGGCAATGTTTCATGTTCCATCAGCAGGTGGGGTGCTGTGAGCTACAAAAAGCAGCAGCAAGCTCTGTAAACTATCTGCTTTTCTGGAAAGACTTAAGGAAGATGTAAAATGCTCTTGTTTTTGGAAGCTGGCCATAGGTTTTGTAATTGGCATCCCAGACTTTCATGCATACCTATGAGATGAAAGGCCCTCTGTTATTCCCCTACTGCCCCAACCCTGCAGCAACCAGCCAAATCACTTTTGAAAAGAAGAGGCTTGTTAAAGAATCCCTAGATTATCCACATTTTCTCCTCTCTTTTCTTAAATTTATGTTTTGCAGGACAAATGATACTGGCTTTCTTTCCTTCAAAGACCACTTGCCTGTCACTCAGATAGTTATCACTGATACCAACAGATCAAACTCAGAAGCTGCTTGGAGAATTGGTCCCTTGCGTTGCTATGGTGACCGTGAGTACTAAATTGAAAGATTTCTCTCTGTCTTACATAAGCACAAGATGTTTTATTCCCTTATCCTTTTTCCCTGCAGTGTCCCCCAGTCCTGAAAATTATCTACATGCCCAGTGCTTTCCTGTACCCCATTCAAAAACAATGAACCGTACTCAGGATTTTTTTCATTTGCAGGACACTTCTGGAATGCGGTATCATTTTATACAGAAGCCTCTTACCTCCACTTTCCTACCTTCCGTGCGGAATTCAGTGCTGACATTTCCTTCTTTTTTAAAACCACGGCTTTATCTGGAGTTTTCCTAGAAAACCTTGGCATTAAAGACTTCATCCGACTTGAAATAAGCTGTAAGTGTTCTCATTTATGAACTTAATTTAACTGGTCAACAGAAGTTTTAATCTTATCTTTGCCACCAACAATAGTGTATTATTTAGATTATCAAATTAATCTCCCTGGGCCTCTGTCAAATTAACAATGATAATTTCTAGTTCCTCCTTATGCTTTTTGTTTTATTATTACTTATCAGTGTTTAAAGAGTCATTCTCTCTTCAAACTAGTGCATTCCCAAAATTCCCATAGATATTTATTTACAGTGTCTTTTATCTGAACCATGGGCATTTATTACCTATTCTTTTAAGCTTCCACACCACAGAACTTTTTCATTGCAATTTTTATGGAAAGCTGAAAACATTAGTATTCTGCATTCTATTTATACTTGAAGTCAATTTTTTGTTGTACTTTTTCTCTGCAAGTAATTTCTTGACTTATTTCCCATCACCAGGAGTATGTGACTGACCAATCAGAATTTCCGTTGTTTCTCTACCACTTCACCATGAACAGGGGTGTATCTAGTGAGTTTGGTGTCAAGACATGGATCATTTTTTAACATCCCATCTCCTATATACAAGTTATATTAAGAAATAATCATAAAGTTAAATGAAAAGTAATACAAATGCAGATGGGGAAGTGTTCTGTTAATGAACTTTTATATGTAATCATGCCAATAAAAATATTCCAGTACAAAAAAGAAACACAATACAATAAAGAATTTTAATCTCATTCATTCAGTTTTTATATAAAAAGGAAAAATACCTACATATTGGTCTGTTCAAGTAATAGTAGTAACATTAAAAGTTCTGTTCCTTAGACTTGACTTATGTAAATTTGTGAGTGAGTTTATCATAATTGATTTTCTTTGCATGTTCATGTTCAAAAGAGAGTATAATCAGATTTGTCCGTTTATCTTCTCTCTTACTGATCAAAGGATACTTTTAATTAACTTTAAAATGTTTTTCACATTAAGCAATAGATATAAACATTTTAGGAAAGATTTTAAACATAAGGCTAAGTTTGATAGAGATTCATAAAAATCCCATTTTACAATAAATTCCAGAAATTGCTATAATATCTATGTATTTTTTTCACGATCAATGTTAGCATCTTTCAAATAGCTCTGAAATTAAAAAAAAAACACTAAAATATTTTTATTAGAAAATTCATCATGAGTTACTATTCTACTTGGTAAAACCTTACAGAGTTCCTAAGGCTTTGGAGTTGCTTAAGCTCTCTTTGGGTGCAATTTGTGTTCACAGCCCCTGTGGTACTATATATTCCTTGTTTCAACAGTAGATCTGAGTTAAACAATGATAGCACAGTAACTGTAAAAATGGGAAATCAGAAATTGAGCTCTTATTCTTAAAAACAAGCACATATTTTAGTCTGCATGTTCAGGAGCCAATGGTACGTCAGGAGTTCTCTATATTAACTTCCCTCTTGAATATAATATGTGGTAGGTAATAAAATGTACTCTTTGAAGCTTACACATTATTAAAAATTAATACTAACATCAGCGTTTGTTACAACTTAAACCTACAAAAGTTTTGTTTGTTTGTTTGTTTGTTTTTGTTTTTTTCCCCCCCTGGTGGAGGAATGTTTCATTGCTGACATTATTTAGAATTACTGTTGTGTGGCAATAATAAAAAACAGATCTACTTTTAGTTGATTTTGCTAGTTTTCTGATTCTCTGCATTCAGTATACCCACTGTTTTCTTATACACAAAGTGGACTGCTCCCACCATCTAGCCCTTATTAAAGCCATGACCATGAAGAATTATGCTTTTTGTTATGTGCCTCATTTACCTGGTTTTAAATGCATGTTTTTTATGATTTGATTGTGGCAATTGACCATATTACAATAATAATGTGACAGCATGAAATACCCTTGAAAACCTAAGTAATAATGTCTTAGCAACAGAAACCTGGAAATTTGAAAGCTCCAGAAAAAGAGACAAAAGTGCTGGCTGGAGGAGATGGTTGAAGTGCATGTACAGGTCTCCTGCAGAGCACAGAGCAGCTAAGTGTTTCTTCTGCAGCTACAGCTCAATACAAGGAAAGGCATCTCTTTAACTGGGAGTTATAATATCCTTTTACTCCAATGATTTAGACTATGAATGGCAGGAAGCTCTTGAGGCTTTAGTGTGAAATAAGATCCTTCATAGCTACCTTGGCCAGGCTTTAAATATGTGGAGTTGAGTGTCAGCCATTTCATAATATGGATATAATAACCTCAATGTAAATTTAATAACAATCAGGCCCTAAGGCCTTTCGATTCATTAAAGCAGCAGCAAATGTCATGGCATATTATCACAAGGTAATGAGTGATGATTTCGTGTTAATTATATTTCAGTGTCCAATTTGTTTGAACTTCCTCATACTATATTTTGTCCTTTGGGTTGCACAAAAATGTTTTCAGTGTAAGTGGTATTAAATCTGATAAAAATTTAAAATCCATTGATGTCATTGTTCAGTGCACACTTTTTCACCAGATCAGAGAATATGTATTTTTTGAAAGAGGAAGATTTTGTATAAACTTTTTTAAAGTACGAGGCCTCAAAATTTTCAAAATATTTTGTTTTATTATTATTATTTAAAAGGAAAAACAAACAAACAAATGGGGCTTATCTTGCATTTCTTACTAACAACTGCACTCAACCTATGTCTTTTACACAGATGGAATTTTCACCCTAACGTGTTCATAGTAAGATTCCTCTACAGATCAGCTTCTTAGAAAGAAAATGGTCTTCACATAAATGTAGTAGATTTCTCAAGTAGATCTCTTCCTCATCCCCAAGGAGTAGTCCTCTGTAACTATCTGAACAGAAGTTTTCAAAATTGATGTATCCGAATTTTTGGACAGGGAACAAGAAGTTTACATAAAATTTTCAATTTATTTCTTTCTGGGTCATTTCCAACTAAGACATTTGAATTTTGTAGCTTTAAGATTAGTCCATATTCTATGAAAGGCAAGATGTTTCATTATGTCCTCAAGTCTTAATGGATTTGTTTCAAATGAGACTGAGAAAAAAATAGCTATTTTGACAGTTAGTTCACAATGGCTGTGCAGTTTGAAACAGATATTTTGGAGTGGATGGGGGATCAGAAGGAAATGGTTGTTGAGATCAGTATGGCATAGCGGAAAGAGACTACTGGTGAGAACCCAATGTGGTTTCTAATTTCTGTTTCTCTAACTCTAATTGTGAGCAAGTTCCTCACCCCTTCAGTGCTTATTTATGAAAATGGAATAGTTGATGCCCATATGTCAATCAGATGCATTTGGCTGCAATTAAAAGAAAATTCAATCTTAGCTGGTAGACACAAGGATGGGAATTTATTGGTACCAGGACACATGACCAAGTCCAGAATTGGTGGGGCACTTTATTTCTGGTTGGATTCAGGAGTTTAACATATGTTAGCAGTGGTCTAATTTATTTCTCTCCTTGTTCTGACTTCTGAATCTCTACTTCCGTCAAGGCTATCTTTCCCTCAAGAAGGAGCCACATTTCAGCTGGTGGGAAAGCACTTCTTTGCCAGCTGTCCACACAATCCTCCTGATATGCAACTCCTCTGATTACCTAGGAACAAATGCCTCTAGACAGGGAAGTAAAGATTTCAGACTGGTTTTGCCAGAGCCCAGCCTTACCCCTTGGGTGGTAGGGGCAGCTAGCTGACCTTAAAGCCTGTAGGTGAAAATAAAAATCATTTTCATTCCTAAAACTCTGAGTTCTTGGCTGAGAACCATGTGATAAAAGACAGAATATCAATAGGAAAAACAAACAGAAGTTTATTAACATGTATACCTCATGTAGGGATGGGAGATACCCAGAGGAAATGAGTGACTCAATGAGGTGACTTAGACCTCCAGTTCATATGACATCTAAAAAAGAGAACAATAAATTTTTGGAAAAATAATAGGATAAAGGAAAGCAGTTTTAGCCTTTGAAAGTAGAGATAAAGGCTAGTTAGTCAAGTTTGTTATGTAGATTCTTCTGGTGGCATCTCGAGGCTGATAGGGTCTAACGTTGTCTCCATGTGATTAATATTTGTCCTCTTGGTAGAGAGGGAGGAGGGATGGAGGAACAACTAAATCTATATATCTATATCCTCATCTATATCTATATATCTAGAAATTTGAGTTCTGACTTTCAAATGTATCATATCAATATTACCAACTGTGATGGTAACTTGAAGATACAATCCTCAGATCCTCAAGAATAGGAAAGATTAATTCTAATAATTACATTTATGCTAAATGGTTGAGTACTCTAATTAGACATAGTACTGAATGTTTTATATTCATTATTAATTTTATTTTCAAATAATCTCATCTATAATCATCAAGATGTTGCATTATGATTTTCATGTTCAACTCACAGTCCAATATGCAGATGAGGAAGGTGAGCCTTGAGAGGGTAAATAACACGCCCAGCATCACCCAGTAAGATTCAGAATCCAGGATTCAATTCTCTGTTCATTCGAACAACTCCCTACTCTGTTTTGCAAAACTGTCTCAAGAGCCAAGAATGTTAGAAGGTGAGAAAATAGCATGATTTTCCTCCATGTTTTGAGGCATAGGACATTCAGTAGGTCTTTACAACTTAATGCAAAACTGTGTGTGCTGGGGCTTCCCTGGTGGCACAGTGGTTGAGAGTCCACCTGCCGATGCAGGAGACACGGGTTCATGCCCTGGCCTG